GTTTGACCTTCAAGGAGCTCAAGTCTATGAGCAGTAATTCATCTTAATGGTAAGAGCCTTGCAGAGAATAAGCGCTTATGAAGTATTTGTAGAACGAAAGTGCAGTATTATACATTCTCTGGGTGGTATAAAAGCCAGAGAAGCAATTTTGCCTAGAGGTGACATTTGAGCCAAATCATAGTGAAGCTGTGATTTTTTTTTTTTTTTTTAAGTGGTGGTTTCTCAGGGCAAATCTGAAGTTGTGAGTGCTCACTTTCATCATGGAATGTCATGGCTATGGGAGTCATTTATGCAGTGTGTCTGGATTTGTCAAATATTCTCACTCAGTTCTCTTTAGAAAGGATTTTCATTCCAGAGCGGCAGGTTCCAAAGTGGAGTCCGTCAGCTGTTTTCCTTGGGTCATTGTTGGAAGGGAAAACATACCTTTCAGTCTGTTCTATGGTGGTTTTTAAATGGATCGCTCATGGCTTCAGGGATTAAATGAAAATTTTGACTAATAACAAAGGTAACATGACAGATGTCTCTTGGTTTAGGGACTTTTATTTTTCCCAGACTTATAATTTGTTTTCAGATTTCTTTTTAACCTCCAGAAGGGACTCCAGTCCTGCGAATGTTGCTGGTTTGCTTCTAGCTGGGGCTGTGGTCACTGCAGCTGGTCTGATGATGTTTTCCTACTCCGATTATTCTATTTATAATGGCAACTGTAGCTGTTAAGTTTCAAAGCAGTGAGCTCTGATGAAACAACCAACTTTTCAAAGTGCACTACTTAACTTTGATAATTCCCTGAAATGCAAGTGATGTGTAAAGCTAAAAAAAAAAAAAAAAAACCCCAAAACCCAAAAAACAAACCACACACATCCATCTGTCCGCTCCCTTCCGTTCCTTCTTTGTGTGCTGTGGTTTTTTGGGTGTTTTTCGTCCAGCTTTGCTGTTCCTTCCTCCTTCCCTTAGCTTTTCTCTCTTTTCCTGACTTTTTTTCTCCACCAAATTTCCATTTTCTCCTTTTTCTTTTTATCTTTCCCCATTTTGGGTCACAAAATGGAACCTAAGAGTTTTGTTGTTCTTGTTCTTTTTATTTTGCCTTTACTTAAGGGATTTCATGGATTAATTCAATATATTTTATATTTCCTATTAGTATTAACTTTTTTCTATGGGAATAAAAAAAAAACCCTGAAAAACAGATTTCCTAGCTTGTTCATTTATTATTAATTAATTTCATTGCTTTTGCAAAGTTAATTTACATCTCTCTTTCTCATTTTTTGATGTGTGCATAATGATTCAAAGCTTAGGAAAAATATTTCAAGTTATTAATTGGGAATTTTGAAAACTCATACATTTTTAAAACTAATAGACTTTAGGTCTCTGTATGAATTCTGGCCAAAGTAGAAACACTGGGCAGAGTAGTAATTTTTAAAATGTACTAGAAGATGAAGAGGAACTTTTGATTTTTCTTTCTCAAGGGAATTGAGGGACGTGGTTAGTCAATTGCAGTTCTAAACCCATGCCGTCCCAGAGTATGGACGTTTGTCATATTGTCACTTCTACCTTGAACTCTGGACATGGTGACCACCAGCAAGTGCTCTAGCTCCCTGAGCTGAGGAAGAGGCTGTGGGTGCCTGGGCCCTTCCATGTGGGCTCCGGGCGTTTTCTCCCACATTTGCCCCCAGAGCACAATGGGAGCCCCCAGGCTCCCTGACTCTCTTGCTTCTCCTGACCAGGGAGCCTCATCTCCCAGTCACCCTTTTGCTTTTGCCAATAAACTGCAGTTTTGGGGAATTTTTAACATATGATCATTTTCCCATTAATACCACTACCTCACATCTGTATGTCCTGTGCTGAACAGAAGAAAAATGTCAATGGGCCCTTCACAGTGCGTCCTGCCACTGTGCATCTTTTCTTTAGAGGTTGGAAAGGTGACTGGAAGGATCCAGAAGGTGAGATGGGGATGGTTTTGGCCTTTCAGCTTTGGAAGATTTGAAATTCTTAGTTCTTTTCAACCAGTACCTTGTGGGAAGGAGGAATTTTATTTGGCAATGATGCTCACAGTCTATTCAGTGCACCGTTGGTCCTGGCTCCCGCCAAGCAGTTCAGGGCAGCAAATGCCTTATTTGAGCCTCACTTCAGCTCTGCTCAGGTGGACTCTTCCTTTTCCATCTTACTGATGAGGGAGTGTGAAGTGTAGGGGGCTGAAAAAACTACTCAATATCATATAGTTTATAATATTTTACCCCCTCTCAATCATGTAGACAGACCTTATTTTATGTTTATTTATTTTGAGAGAGAGAGAAAGATAGAGATCAAGCAGGGGAGGGGTGGAGAGAGAATCCCAAGCAGGCCTTGCACTGTCAGCAAGGAGCCCGACACAGGGCTCAAACCCACGAACCAGGAGATGAGATCATGACTTGAGCTGAAATAAAGAGTTGGACACTTAACTGACTGAGCCACCCAGGAGACCCTTGAGACTTTACTTTAAAAAAAAAAATTCTTTTTACATTTATTTTTGATAGAGAGAGACAGAGCACAAGTAGGGGAGGGGCAGAGCGAGAAGGAGACACAGAATCTGAAGCAGGCTCCAGGCTCCAGGCTCCGAGCTGTCAGCGCAGAGCCCGACGCGGGGCTCAAACCCACAAACCACGAGATCGTGACCTGGGCCGAAGTCGACGCTTAACTGACTGAGCCACCCAGGTGCCCCTTTCAAGACTTTCTTTTAAATGGATTTGTTCCAGGTGTAAGTTTGCCAAAATGGAGCAGATTTAGTTAATTATGCCAGGTCTCCAATGCGAGGAATTTTGCTTGTGAATCTCTGTGTTAACTGTGGATGAATGAAATGTTTGGATGCCAGTCGAGCAGAGTCCTTGGGTCTGCAGGTACAGTCTTGAGATTGTTGTGTTGGGGGGAGGCCTGCTGAGATGTGGAGGTGCTGACAAGGAAGCATCCGGCTCACCCCCATCCGGCTTGCTTCAGGGAGCTTTAGCGCCTTTTGAGGAATCGTTCCTCCTGAAAAGTACACCTCTGCTTATTCCAGCAGAAGCCAGTGCGCAGCCCCCCCCAGGGCTTCTTGGGAAGCAACTGTGACCATCATTAACTTCCTTCTGTTACCTGGCATCTCAAGATTAAAACATGTCTACTTACTGTGTTTAGTACTTTTCTGTGCTTTGCAGTAATTTATCATTTTTTTCCCATACATTAAACATAACCTTAGTGGGCAAAAATGTATAAAAGCAAAACAATCAAACATTATTTTACTTTATTTTTTATTTTTTTTATTTTGGAGAGGGGGGCAGTGCAAGAGTGGGTGCAGGAGGGGCAGAGGAGAGAGAATCCCAAGCAGGTCTCCATGCTCAGTGCAGAGTCCCACGCTGGGCTTGATCCCTTGAGCCTGGAATCATGACCTGAGCCGAAATCAACAGCCGGGCACTTAAGCAGCTTGAACCACCCAGGCACCCCTAAGACATTTCTTTTAAATAAAAGGGACTGGAGACCTATGTAATTTTAAGCACCCTTCTCCCACATTTGTTTGTGTCTCAGCAGCGCCCTTTCTTTGAATATACCTGTTAATTAAGGGACAGATATACCCAGGGAAGCATAAACACATTTTAAAGAAAGTAAAAACCAAAGTACAGACCGCATTTCCTGTATTCGCTGAAATTTGTCCACTGGCCCTCCTCCCTCTCCCCTGCACACACCCTGTCCAGTCACTATTCAGGTTCTTAATCACAAGCATGTACTTGAAACACAGGCTGCTTTCTTTGGCAGGCCTTCAGGATATCAAGTTTCCTCTGTTCAAAGGGAACCCGAGACCTGCTTGTGCCCGACTTCTTTCACAGAAGAGATCTTCTTTAAAGCTGGGTTTGCCAGTCACAGTTTTGGATATGAAATCTAGTTGGTGTTTGGTGGAGGTGGGCGTTAAGGAAGGGTGTTCCCACAGCAGCGTTTCGTGCCTCGACTCTGTGCTGCAGATACTTGAGGTCGCCTCAGGCCGGCCCAGGTGGACTTCACTTCCGCCCATGTGACTCTGTTAGTCACTGTTGCAGGCTGACCTGCTCTTCCGGCCTTCCTGACGATGAAGCTGGCCCCTCATCTTCAGACGGAGGAGAGGGGAAGGAAAAAGATGTTCAGGATTGACCTGGTCCTGAGGTGGGCGGCCGTGGGGGGGCAGGTAGAGGCAGATTCCTGAGCATTCGGAAATGTCTGTTCTAGAATGTGCCCCAGGAAGGTAGAGGCTTCCCAGGGACACAGCATTCTGTTATCGAAGTAACAGAGGTGTAGGGCTCTTGTGTTTATTGAAAGCTGCTGATCAGGAGATGCTTAGGCCTTCTCTGACAAACGTTGTCATAAAGGCAATTGTCTTCTGTCTTGCTTTTTTTTTTAAATTTTTTTTTTAACGTTTATTTTTGAGACAGAGAGAGACAGAGCACGAACAGGGGAGGGGCAGAGAGAGAGGGAGACACAGAATCCGAAACAGGCTCCAGGCTCTGAGCTGTCAGCACAGAGCCCGACACGGGGCTCGAACTCACGGACCGGGAGATCGTGACCTGAGCCGAAGTCGGACGCTTAACCGACCGAGCCACCCAGGCGCCCCTCTCCTGTCTTGCTTTTAACTTAACTTGCTTCCTAACTCATTTAGGAAGAGATCTACTACAGTGGACATAATACAAAACGATCTCTTAATATATCTTATACCTTGTGCTGTGTTGTTCTGTTTTTTTTGCCTCAAGTTTTAAGTCTGTTCTCTTTAGAGGTAAACTTAGTTTTCTTTATGACTCTTGAGGTAGTGTTAAATCTTTTCTTTTTTTAAAAATTGGATGTTTCGGGGTACCTGGGTGGCCCAGTTGGTTAAATGTCTGACCTCAGCTCTGGTCATGATCTCACAGTTTGTGGGTTCAAGCCCCTCATCAGGCTCTGTGCCGACAGCTCAGAGCATGGAGCCTGCTTCGGATTCTGTGTTTCCCTCTCTCTCTGCCCCTCCCCAGCTCTCACTCTGTCGGTCTCTCTCTCGCTCAGAAATAAATAAACATTAAAAAAAAATTTTTTTAATTGGATGTTTCTATTATATGAGGCTATAACTTTTTGCTTCATTTTCTCTAAAGAACCCAAGCTTCTTAAATGGGTATAGCTAAAAATCTGACCTTGTTAAAGGAAGACAAAAATTGGCTGAATGGTGGGAGATGAGAAGGAAAACTGTGCCTGCTTTAAGGTTAAAAAGAGATTACTTTTCTCTGTACCATGGAGAAGCATGGCCCAGATAATTGAATGGCACAGAGCTGTTTCTTTGTAGGTCTGCAGTCCTTTTGAGCATGGGCTTGTGTCGGAGAACAAGTGGGTGTGATGACCTCACAATATCCAAGAGAATAAAGCTTGAAACCGAAGGAACTGATGTTTCCAAAGTCCAGGAGTGAGAATGTGCTCTCATTCCACTTTTTCTCTTCAGTGAAACTTGAAGAGTACTTGTTATAGGCAGTGAAACTTCAACTTGATCTTTTATCGCCAAGTTAAGGTAAGAATATCTGGGCTGTTTTAGATGTTGGCTTTTTAAGCTGTTGTAGGGTATGTATGTGTCAAGGGTGATACTGTGCGTTTTTGATAACCAAATCAGCGATATTCTTGCTTAAAAAATTTAGAAGTGGAAAATTCATAATTCCTTATAAAATACCAGTTATTTTTCTTCCTAGTTGGGAACATGACTTGTAGCAATAATAGGGAGATTAGAAGGTTATCTCTTATTGCCATCTCTCAGCTGATAATTAATTATAGCTAATCCTCTTTTTATATTACAGGTTTCCATAACCTTATTATATTTATTTAATTTTTTTAAATTTTTAATGTTTATTTATTTTTGAAGGAGCGAGAGACAGAGCATGATCTGGGGAGGAGCAGAGAGAGAGGGAGACACAGAATCCAAGGCAGGCTCCAGGCTTTGAGTTGTCAGCACAAAGCCCGATGTGGGGCTTGAACCCACAAACCATGAGATCACGACCTGAGCTGAACTCGGACGCTCAACCGACTGAGCCACCCAGGCCCCCCTCCATAACCTTATTTTAATGCGGATTCCGGACTACACCTGTGTGTTTATCTTCCTAAATATTGACAGTAACGGTGGATTGTACTTCTGTGAAGTTAATAAGAAATTAAGTACAGGGGTGTGTGTGTGTTTGTGTGCCTGGGTGCGTGTGAGTGTATGCACTTCCAGGCCCTACAACCTGGAAGGGGGATGTCAAGGCTTAGAAAGATGGTGGCTAGGTTTTCTCGCTAACATTTGTTATTTAATTTCAAAGCCCTCTTTCTTGTTGCCTTTTCCCTGCTGGCCAGGGAAACAGCCACAGCAAATGCAAAGACGAAGCTGGCCCCTCATCTTCAGACGGAGGAGAGGGGAGGCCCCCAGTGGGGGCTGGGCCTGACAGCGTGTAGTGCTAAGGAGTCAACAAAACAGGGCAACAGAAGACTTTGTAAAATTGTGGCTTTTCCAAAATGGCGTCTGCCTTATTCTTTTCATATTCACGGGTAGCTCGCTGTGCTTCCTCCTAGAGTAGACTGTCGTGCACATACTGTGGGAGACACTGGTGAGATCAGCTGAACTCTGTTGAGGGTTCAAATTCCTAGTTGGCCCGTTTTTCATGATTGTTGTGACCTCCGGCATTTCAGTAGCTCATGGGGAACCGCCGTCCTCCTATTCCACCAGGTTTCCCTCCACCATGATTGCATGGTTAACCATTTCTCCAATCCCCTCGAGGCACCGGTAGTACCTAAAACAGAAGTTACTCTTAATTTATGGGAGCAATGCATGAATACACTCTCCTTGTTAAAAAAAAAAAAAAAGGTAAGGTGGGGGGCAAAAAACTATAGATAAAGGTACTTGCTTGGACCTCAGTTGGTGAGAGGCCTGCTCTTTTCTCAGGAACCTGTGTATAGACCTGTGGGGACTAGCAGTTCTCAAGCTTCTTGTTTGGCATCTGAGGGCTTGTTCAAACACATCCTGCTAGACTCAGATTGCTGATTCAGTGGGCCCCGGATGGGGCCTGCGAATTTGCATTTTTAGCAAGTTCCCAGGTGACGTGGATGCTGCTAGTTCAGGGACCACAGGTTGGCAACAGTTGTAGCACTGATTTTTGCATATGTGTGCCTTTTAAAAAGGCAAATACTATCACACTGTATGTGCTTCTATCGTTTTCCTCAGCTCTGTGTTGTGGAGAGCTTGCTGTGCTGCCACATAGTGATAACTTCATTCTGTTTATTTAAAAAAAATTTTTTTTAATTTAATTTTTCTTTAATTTTTAATTTTTCTCTATTTTTATATTAAAATTTATTTTATTTACTTTGTTTTATTTATTTTTTAATGTTTCTTTTTGAGAGAGAACAGGCACGGGGGAGGGACAGAGAGAGGGAACGGGATCTGAAGCAGGCTTTGTGCTGACAGCATAGAGCCCAGCGCGGGGCTCAAACCCATGAACCATGATATCATGACCTGAGGTGAGGTCAGACACCTAACTGACTGAGCCACCCAGGTGCCCAGATTTCCTTCTTTTTAACTGCTGCATAGTGTCCCCAGAGTATATAAAATATGCCTTAATTTAACTTCTATTAATGGGTGTTTTGATTTTGAGTATTTTTTTAAACTATCATAAATAAATGCCGCACCGAACATCTTTGTTTATTCCTCCTTTATGCAAAGCATGTTTGCCTAGGGTAACATGGAGAAGTGAAATTGCTGAGTATATTTTATTTTATTTTTGTTCTAATTGGTAATGTCACCCTGACTCTTTATAATACTCACTGCATTAACACCTAGTTCTGGGTAATTTGTTTTATTATCTTTCTAAGCTGGGGCTAAACCAGAGTTGCTAGGAAAATTATAAAAATGTGCTGATAGGAAGTTCAGCCTGAAAGGGGCTTTGGGCTGCTGGCCAGTCTTTTTTCATTTTTTGTAGACTTCCTAAAACTGATAGTCAACTATTTTTTCCGTTCTCAGTACACTTGATGGATAAGAATTGCCTTCAGTAACCATGGCTCACTTACAGAAAATTTCTAGTGGGTATAGGTCCAAATGTATCTTTTTATGTGAAGTCATTGTTAGACTTCTCCAATCTGGATGTTCTTCCTTCATGTTAGACTATGTATTGATAGCCAGATGTAGCATTTCTTGTGTCCTCCACCTTCGAAACCAGTTAGGCCTCTTTTTCTGTTCTGCCCTTGGCGGTGACATGTGTTAGGTGAGTCTGGCACGTACTAGGTGGGGCTGCAGTCCTAGGTAAGTTGTGGCTGGGTCAGTGGGAGTTACAGTCCAGCGCTACCACTGCTAATATATTTGACTTCGTGGATGGGTGAAATTAGGGGTGGGGAGCTGGGTTGCTAATTCCTTGTTTTGCCAAGTCATTAAAATCAACCAACATAAAGCCACCATCTTTTATAAGTGTGGGATTTCTTTTTAAATGTTTATTTACCCATTTTGAGAGAGAGAGAGAGAGAGAGAGAGAGAGCGAGCATAAGCAGGGGAGGGGCAGAGAGGGAAGGAGAGAGAATCCCTAGCAGAGCCTGATGCAGGGCTCGATCTCACAAATTGTGAGGTCATGACCTGACCCTAAATCAAGAGTTGGACACCCAACCCACTGAGCCATCCAGGTGCCCCATAAGTGTGAGGTTTTTAACACCCCCTACACCTTCCCAAATCATGAACAACATTATCTCAGGGTAAAGGACATTACTTTTAAGTTCAGTTTCAAGAAAACATTTTTTTTTTCCTCCTCTGCCTCAGGCAAGTGAAAATGTTGATTTAGTCTGGAGTTGTCCTAGTATGTAGAGGAACCTGCCATTCCTTGAGTAAAAAAATGTGGTTCTGTATTAGGTTTTCCTAGTTTGTCATGCTGGTAATGTGCTCTCAGTAGTGATCACTGGACATGGGGGTGGTCCTGTAATGTGCAGTTTTCCGGAAGGAGAAAAATTCTTAGGATTCTTACAGTCACCCATTCCCACTGTTGGAGCACTCACAAAAAATGCTGTGTGCCAGGCATTGAGCCAGGTTCTAGATAAAAAGAAGAGGAAGGGGTTCTTGCATTTCAGCGGCTCCCTGATAGTCCTGCTGCTTCTATAGCATGCAGACTGCTTTCCCACAAAAATGTGCTCAGACTTTTAAGGTGACAGCTGCATGTGTGCTCAAAGGTCCCTTGCCATCAAAATCTGACGTTGGTCACTCTGCCTACAAGCTGTGCTTAGACAAAGCTGCTGTCATATCTTGGAGCTTCTTGGGAACATCTCCTTTTAAAGCCAAGGAACCCTTTCTATGGTAAGGATACCTGAATGTCTCTTACCTACTTTTGTGCTTTTCTTCTTTGGGATGTGAAAACACCCTATCAATGATGACAAAATATGCGCGGATTTTAACAGCAGGGCTCCCCAGGTGTAGAGTGATCCTTCTCCTCTAAGAGTACCTCAGCAGAACCTGAGACACTTGTGCATTTTGAACCTCATGTGGTGTGTGGAAACAAATTAAGAAATAACCCACAGAGTAACCCATTACGGTGTTAATTCTTTCCAGACATCTAAGATTTAAGGGGCTTACTAGGTTTTAAATAGATACAGTGCTTTATTAGTCTTTTGTTTTGTTTTGTTTTTCCTGTTACAACTTAATTGGGTGAGGTGTTGAAGGGATTGGGATGACCTAAAAAAATGGAAAACCCTTGGGTTTGGTTGAAATGGGCACTGAACGCCATGATAAAGGCAGTCCAACAACCTCCAGGGTTTATTTCAGTGAATCTAAGAGAAAAGGTATTTTAAAGAAAGAGGGGTGGGCTCTGAGCGGTGTGTGCATCCCATGAACTTACCCCCAGGGAGACCCCTGTCCTGAAAATTCATAAATATCTAATATAAGAGGAGGCATCTGATGCTTTTTCTAGTGCTAAAGGGCTTGCTGCAGTTACTATGGAGAAGCTGGTGCTGGTCTCAGCTGTGTGACAGAGACACTGCAGGCCCTTCAGGAAGAGGGGTGGGAGCAGGTCATTTAACCTCAGCTTGAAGAGCCGTGTTGGTTCTGATGCGTATTGATCAGTTTCTTTGTGATCTCCTATATTGTAAAATGCCTACCGTTTTTACCTGTTCAGAATTTTTTTTAAAGTACTGTATTATTTTAGCTGGAATTTGGTGCCCTATTGCAGAATCCTAGCCTTGTATGTTGGTAAAATTAAGATGTCGTGCATTTACTAATTATTTGTAATGTTATCATGGTATTCTTCATAGTAGAAAGAAGGACAAAATATTACAGGAAACATTTGCCTGACAAGGGTCACTTTCATTTGAAGAAACGTCATGACCGGTTGGTTCTGACTGTTCCTTGAAATTTTTTCTTTAAAGCTGATGACAGAATTTGCCATATATAACTGAAATTTTGGAATGTTTTCCATGGATTTCACATTACAAATTAGTCTACAAAATAAACTGTGACTTCTGTGATGGTTCAAAAATTTAATCTGGGGGTGCCCGGGTGGCTCAGTTGATTAAACATCAATC